ATGTTGCAAATACGACGCAATTAACGATCATGAAGCAAGAATAATTTATTCCATAGCGGCTCCCCTAAACTTGTCATCTATCATCTATTTCGCTCCATGCAACATTCCTTGCCAGGAAGTGACCCACACGCTAGATTTCATGACCTTCCCTGCGACACATATGGAATGAGACATGCAGAATCATGTTGGGAATCTGCAACAGATTGCCGCTTATAATTTGAAGTGGCGCCTTCTGTAGCATGTCCGTCGTGCGTAGCCCTCTTCATCCGTTGAGATCGGTTGTAATCATCATCCGCTTGATCGACCATTGTGGGTCTTTGTTTTATCTATAGAATAATTAGAATATATAATTAAATGCATTTACAGAGCGGTGAAATATGATATAAGATAAATATTTGTGTGCAAAATGATTTTTCCGTTCTTAGACTCGGACATAGTGATTTTTTTACGTTGGTCTTCTGTTCTTGCTTTCAATTCCAATTCTCGTCTCTTTGCAAAGCTCTTCTGTAGAGTTTCAAGCTCGCCGACAATGATGTGTAGAATCGTCATTCGATCGCTCATTGCAACACTCAAGGGAGCATCTCACTTTTTCTTGCCATTTTTTTTTATCTTATACAAGAGTTAGATTAGACCAATAAATGGAATATTGCTGCCACATCTGCACTGGAAATGCTTGAGCCCCACTTCCTAGGCCTTAGTAGAGTTCAAAATGGTTTACATGATCTTGTGAGGCGGGGCGGTGATAGACTTATTCTCCGCTTCGTAGTCTCTCTCCTATAGATGGAGTGTTGCCAGCTTATTACACCTCTTTCGCTATTTACATCACAAATGTTCAGATTAGCTCTCTTCTTTAGTTCCACTGGTTCAGACCTTTCCGGCGAGGAATTTTCATGCTATTTCCAAGCAGCCGAATAACATTCATTAGTTCCGAATTTCCAAAGTAAGCAGAAAGTTTCACCGCTTTTTCTAAAGAACTGCCACTTTGTGGAACAGACTTACCTGTCAATGTTTCTCTGAACAATACAATTTTAATCTTTTCAAGTCAAGATAAATTGTTATCTATCCTCTTTATCCTGATATTCTTTACTTTCTACCACCATCTCTTTCCCTCATATCACACCTCATTAATCATAACTATTTTAACAGTATATCCTCTAGTTTGAGTATCTCTCGAGTCTTATATTACATATATACAACCTTGTGCAAATTAATTGAAACAAAACGAATAATTCGGTTATTATTTACTTTTTTTTTCGTATTTTTCCAATGAAACATAACCCAGTGCATATGTTAGTACTTTGTATGCACATTCCACGAAGTCGTTCCTTGCAGATTGACCACAGATTCTCGATTGGATTTAAATCAGGATAGTTTCCGGGTCAGTCTATAGTCTTTTGATTTACTCACTGGTAAGGCTTGTCTGCGTGTTCGTGCAGCATTACAATTTTCATACGCTTCCTTGGAGTAACGTCCATCGCAGACAATGGCCGTAGGAAAATAATCGACAGTGTCTGGGCGTGATAAAAATCTGAAGCAATCACGGATGACGCAATATTTTTCAAGGCCAAACAAATTTAATCACACACTCCGAAAATAGATTCATATTATTGCACACCACTGCAAATGACCTAATCTGAGGTAAAAATAGAAATCGATTACACCCTGTCACTCTAGTGCGTCTAAAACTGATCGTATGGTGAAAGAAAGGAAACTAAAGCGGTTGTTTCAATTAATTTGCACAAGGGTGTAATTCTCTACCTTGAGTATCTCTCGAGTCTTATAATAAGTGAATTTTAGTATATAAAAATGGTCTCTGTTATTTTTGTAGTCTTCCGTTTTTGATTTTGCCTACTGGATCCCAAGAAGGGCAACATCCACTGCCGTATCTTTGTTTACAATGACGAGATCTACCTTTTTGGCTTCGATGGAAAAAAAAGGTTTTATTACATGTAATTTTATGTAAGCACGAAATGATTATTGCCGGGAAGAATGGCAGCAGATTTCTTCAGATTCCCAGCAACTTTCTCTGTATTATCGTAGACCCCAGCACTGCCATGGTCTGCGAAATACTTCTTCGAATTTCCAATTCACCCAATCTTACTTGCATTTTCGTTTTCTTCCAGGTACGCCGATTATTATGAGCACGACCAACTTTCGTGATCTGGACTTGCCCAGTTCTTAGGTGAGCTCAAGGTATTTTTTTAAAAAAAATCTGTTTTTTATTCTATTGTCCAGTAGCTCGCTCATGTTTAAGGTGGGTTGTTTTTTTTACATTATTTACATTTTTCGGACTGTTGTCCTCAACTTTATTGCCTTATTCACGACGTTTCGACCATTGTACGCTCTGACCTTCATCATGTGATTGGAATTTCGAACTGAACCCTTTATTTCGTCCACCGGGGTAGATTGTTCCCTCTTCCTCTCCCTTTAACTCAACTCTCCAAGATTTGTTCACCACTACAGAAGCCAGGTATTTAACTCAACTGTTTGGGTCATGTTACTGGACCCAACCAAAGCTTTTATCCACTGGGTCATGTGATCTGACACATAGCCCAGTGGATAAATAAGGTAAATAATTACAATACAACATCTCAGAAATATAAACAGATACTGAAGAAAACCGGAGCGTACAACGGCCGAAACGTGGTGAATATGGCAATAAAGATAATGTAAATAATGTAAATAATTACAATACCTCGCCTCAGAAATATAGACAGGGTCATTTTTTCTTTATTCATGACTCTCAAAATTGACCTTTCTGCTTCAATAATAGAGGTTGGTCTGAGTTTCAAAAATACGAAAGGATTTTATCATTTTTATTTTCAAAGGAAATGTTTTTGTTTTAATTGTTGCTCCTGTCCTTTGTTTAGATGATTGAACCAATGTCGTCTGCATATATTCCAGTGCATTACAATGCCTGCACATCATACTGGATTTTGTGTTTGTCCTGAGCCAGTGAGCAATACATTTACTTACGATATTTTTACTTCCCTTTCTTTACAAATACGATGATTGCTGTTTTTCTACTTTTTCAAAGGCGACATTTAATTGCAGTTATAATACTAGTTGTAGCATTAGTGACTTTTGTTGCTGTTGTAGGAAATAAGAAAGAATAAAACAAAACAGACAAGAAGAAAAAGAAGGTCAAAAAGCGGAAAAGAAAATCAAACAATATAATGTCATTTAACAGTAATAATAATAGTAGTTATAGTAGTAATAAATGTCATTGTTTTTTGTTACTGTTGTAGAAAAAAGAAAGAAAAGAAAAAAGAAAGAAAAGAAAAAAGAAAGAAAAGAAAAAAGAACAAGAAAAAAGAGAAAAAAGAATATAAAGTTATTTTAAGCTTAAGTACATATAGGAAATGCTCAGTCAATAAAATGAAAAAAAGAGAAAACAAACACACAGACACATTGTCCAATCACGCTCATTAATACATAATAACACTTTTTTTAATCATGCAAATATATAAGTGAAAAGAGACACGAAGACACACATTCATGGCTCCTGTCAAGGTTGATAATGAGTGTAACAAATGTTTACTCTCATTACTATCTTAGAGATCAATTCAGGGTAAGTGTTCTAGCCAAGTGCTCACCCAGCCGTTCTCTTTTCTGTCAACCTTCGTGACATGCCAGTGAAAAACTACTCTCTCATGAGATCTGGTCATGAGAAGACAGAACACAGGAATTATTACTATTAAGTGAGCACAGTTTCAGCTGAAATTTGAACGATTCCCGTTTTTCCATTTTGATAAGTTACGCCCCTTTGCGCTTCCAAACACGCACATTATATATACGTCTTCCTTTTCTCTCTCTTTCTCTCTCTCTCTCTCTCTCCTTATATATACGGCTTCTTTTTTTCTCTCTCTCTCTTTATATATACGGCTTCTTTTTTTTCTCTCTCTCTCTCTTTATATATACGGCTTCTTTTCCCCTCTCTCTCTCTCTCCTTATATATACGGCTTCTTTTTCTCTCCCTCCATCTCCCTCTCCTTATATATGCCCTTCTTTTTTCACTCGCTCTTCCTCTCCTTATATGCCTTCCTTTTCTCTCTCTCTCCCTCTCATTAAATATACGCCTTCCTTTTCTCTCCCTCTCCTTATATATATATATATATATATATATATATGCCTCTCTCTCTCTCTCTCTCTCTCTCTCTCTCTCTCTCTCTCTCTCTCTCTCTCTTATATACACGCTTTCCTTTTCTCCCTTTCACACTCTTTCAGCCAGGTACACGTATGACAATGAACAAAGTAAAATTGACTTGGTCATTGTCTGGTATTGACAATTTAATTATATATATGTGTGTGCGTGCGTGCGCGCGCGCATGTGTGTGTGTGTGTGTGTGTGTGTATAAATATAGTCGGCCAATGAAAAAGTGAGAAAATCGAAATTTTGGGACACAATTTTATGTCTTTTCTCATTGAAAATAAACTCTTTATCCTAACCTGGCATCTCGACTCCATTCACTTTCTCATAGACGTGACGTGGTTTCTCTTTGTCTTTTCTCCAAATATTTTCATGGCTACTCCTCTGACGAATCTTTTTCTTCCTGGTACCCCGATTGCATGAATTTAAGTGTACCCCTATATCCCACTCGTTTATTTTTGAATTAGTTAAATGTAACCGCCACTTCTACTTTAGCAGTTTCTTTTCTCGCATTACCCGCTTGTGGTACTTCCGTTTACTTGCTTCCCTGATAACTACAATCTTCAAAAATTTTAATGCAACATCAATCACCATTTTGTGTCTTCTTGAATCTTTTGTCCTTTTCTCAATTCTCCCTATACTCAGTTTTTCTCTCACTTTCCCTCCCTCTAACCCCTACCTACTAGTGGCATATATATATTAATAGTGGCATTCCCGCGTTGCTTGGCGTGAAATGATTAATATATATATATATATATATATATATATATATATATATGAATTTCACCCAAACCAACACGGAATGCCATACTTAATATATATATATATATATATATATATATATATATATATATATATATATATATATATATTGCTTTTTGTTCCAATTATCGAATCAGGTCTCGTGTACTGTGATCAAAATTGTAGATAAACTGTCCGAAGTTCATGTGTTGTTGTTTTGTTCAAATACTTTCGACCATCTCACTCACCAGGATGTAGACAGAGGAATTCCTATTCAAGTAATATATGCGATCATCCGATGACTTGCTACGACTTCTTTATCCGGGTGCATATATAAGTCACTGGCGAATTGAACAGGTTGAAGGAAGTTGTAAACCAGTATTATAGGTATTGATACGATTTAATACCTCCCACTAATACCTATAATCCTGGTACTAATTTTAGTTGTGTACAGCGGGAACACTAGAAATTGCCACACGCCATAAGGAAAATTTACTATTAAATAACAGAAAATCTATGTTGTATTTATGCAACCATATACAGAAATATTTGCTATACCACTGTTAAGTGGTATGCAAATTGAATACTATTATTTAACTAACCATATTAATGTACTAATTTGTGATAAAAAAAATCCCGATAAAAGAAATAAAAGAAAGCCTGGTAATCGTTTGTGATGAAACTGTAGCCGTTAACAGGTTCTTCTAAATTCAAAATTGAATTATTAGCTTTATACTGAATGTGCATTGAGTACTATTTTATTCCCTTTTACTTTTAAATAGGGTATAATTATTTTATACATGTTTTCCTTTTTAATATATATATATATATATATATATATATATATATATATATATATATATATATATATATATAGTAATCGTCAGGCCACGTGTGTTGTTTTTTTTCTCGGCTATTTATATACACGGGTCAGTGGTGCATTGTTGGTAGTCTATTTTGGCGGTTATTTTGCCGGAAGTCGTTTATTTGTTTATTTATTTGGGTTAATTTATTTTTGCTTGTTATTATTATTATTATTTGCATCTAGGATGAAACAGCCTGTCGCCTCTAAGTTTTGACTTCAATGTTCACTTTTATATATATACACGCTCCATCTCTGATATTGAGCAGTTTATCCCATAAATATAGCACACCTTAAGACTATATTTCTTCATATATATATATATATATATATATATATATATATATATATATATATATATATATAAAAACATGTTTGAAGATTAAAATGTTTAGATATCAACAGTTCGAAAATCCCACACTGTATATTGTCCTTGGACATCAACACAAGCTTGTACTTTCGTATACGTACGATCATACTAATGGTGAATACCATAGAGTCCCCCCTACTTCAAAGCCACTTGCAACTGTTAAAGTAATACACCAAATTCTATAGGAAGAGTAAATGAAGAATTTAGGCGTCGACCCATCATATATATGTTAAATGAGTGACAGGTTTTATGATCCTGCCAGCAGGGAGGTTGTCGAACATATTGCAGAATCTATAGACTAGGACGGGCATCTTGTAGGTAGGCATTATTCTGCTCGAACAGCGCATCAACTTTCTTTTGCAGAAATGGCAACAGTACGAATAAAACAATTTTCTGGGCCTGAACTTCACTGTTCTATACTTCCACTTGTCACAAAATGCGACGAAAGAAATAAGATAAAGACAAGTAAAGAGAACGACATGAGGCCAACTAAGTTTTATAGTAAACAACAACAAAAAAAGGTTTTATTATAATTTTAGTGATTAGGGTCAGTGCCTAAAAAGGAAAAAACATAAATGCTTACCGGCAAGAAGTTAGAAATACTTCAAAATAACTTCAGTCGAGAATTGCTGTGTTTTTGTGGAAAAAGTTTGTTCGCCATTTTTTGAAAGAAAATCAAAGGATTGTGATGAGTGTATATATTCAGATGAAAAATAACGCTGAAATAAACCCGAAAATGGTGAAGGGCGACCAACAATGCTAAAAACTCGTTTCAAAAGTGGAATACTTTGATATTTATTTAATGTTTTTCTTTTTTTTTAAATAACAGAATTCTGTCAATACAATCATCGATTCTGGGAATTGGAAAAGAGACCATTTTGGTCACAGTATTTAATTTGCGGTAATCTGTCACAAGTCTGTTAAATCCATCTGACTTGGGTACAAGAATACATGATGAACTCCATTCACTGTTCAATAATGTCATTGTCCGGCATATATTGAAACTCTTTTCGTAAATTTTAAAGTTTTATTGGATTCAATCCGTAAGGACTTTGTTTGATGGATTTTGCTTGTTTAACTGTAACATCGTATTGGGAAGCGATAGTTTTTCTCGAAACATCAGTAAAAATCCTTTTGAACTCACTGACCAAATCAAAAATTTATTTTCTTTCACTTAGAGATAAATCTTTTCATTTTTCAATCTAAATTGCATATGATTTCATCATTTTTTAATTGTAAACTCACTTCCATATCGTCTTCATTATTAATATTAACAATATCTTTATTGACATCTTTGTGACATTCGAAATTTTTTATGATATTAGTTATAGTCGAGATTAGTTTATTATTTAAATTATTATTTTTTTCAATGTAATTTGTTATCGTGTTAATATAAGAGATTCTTTTTTTTTATACTGATCTGGGGTGAGAACAACATAATTCAAATAATTAATTTTTAATAAGGCCCGAATTATTTTACTTGTAGAGGATTGCTAGGGACTGGTAAAAATAGTAAAAGATCCACATTCTGTCCCTTCTCAAATTTAGTTTCGCAAAAACAGCAAATAATATTACAACTGATAGCATTAGAATATTTCACATCACTGAACCTGTCTAAAGTTCAGATCGTGCTTGGGTATGAGTGTTACTACATGACAAGTTGACCGAAGCCATTGAAAATGTTATATGAATATCTACTTCTCCTGACCATATACATCGTCTACCCAAGTTAAAGTCACTATCATTCTTCAAGGAGTTACAATTTTATTTTCCGTTAGTTTATATAATAAACTCTTTCCGCTGTGACTCGAAAGATAAATCATTTTTCGCAAGTTATTATGCGTCTTTCTTATAATGTTAAAAGTTATTTTTAATGGGTATACATGTTTGAATTGATATCTGTTTTTTTATTTAATTAAATAATGAAATTAATAACAACTGGCCTAGATCGAGAAATCCTAATAAAGAAAAATAGTAGTAAAATAGTATAGTAATATGTAGAGTAGCATGGGCATGTTGTGGGCAAGCATTATCTTAATGGACCTGTTGCCGGAATGGTAATAGAACGAATAAAACAATTTTCTGGACCTAAACTGAGCTGTTCTTCCACATTGTACAGTAATTCTCCAAAATTACAACCCGCTTCTGAAAGAAATAATGTTGGATTTTTTAAAAAATCCATTTAAAAAAAAATGCCGTGTTTATGATTTGGGCGCAGAAATGAAGGTAGCAGATATAGATACTAAGAACTTCCAAGATTGGTATTTTCTTAAATAGGAAATTGCTCTTCGCTTTATCAGTGTGGTCTCACGTACCCAAATTGGTAACAGCACGTCTCGGCTATAGGAGCGGTCTCTCTTTTAGAAAAAGACACATTTTTCTTTCGTAGGACTTCTCAATCTAGGCCGGTTGGCATTAATGTCACTGCTTAAAGTAAGTAAAAAAAAAAAACAGGGATACAGGGATATGTACCCACTAAAAATAACGTTTATAGTAATAAGAATATTATGGACACATGGCACAGTGGATAAAGGCCTTGGTTAGATCCAGTGACAGACCCAAAGAGTGTGAGTTCAATACCCGGTTAAGGCAGTGGAGAACTTTCAGAGGGAAAATTAGCAGGAGATAACTGATAACTGACATCCATCAAACATGGCACGTGGAACTAGAACAGTCTACCCCAGTGATCGAAATAAAGGGTTCAGTTCGACATTCCAACCACCTGAAGAAGGCCGAAACGTTGTGACAAATATGGCGACAAAGATGAGGACAATAGTCCGACTAATGTAAATACTATATATATATATATATATATATATATATATACATATATGTTTGTGTGTGTTGTAATCTAGAAAAGGTTACTGAATGAGGAATAACTAAAACGTACATTGTAAATGAAATGGTAATCTTTATAACATCAACAAAATACAATACTCGCCAGCGACGTGAAGTAGGTAAACCACTGCTAGTGGTGCACTACTTAGCATATTACCTCCACTTACAATAGTGTCCAACGTTTTTATGAGGATTGGGACATACCCATTAGTTTTCATATATATGAGGGTGCTGAAAAGATCTCACTTCTGACCAAGAAAAGCTACATCCCCCAAATTTTGATATTTGATCTGATTTTAGGATGTAGTTCAGGCTGATAATTTTTCAGCACCCATTGTATATATATGTAAGAATGTGTGCATGTGTGTGTGTGTGTGTGTTACGTTAATTAAGTCCATAGCCTAAAGGCCGAAAGCATGGGGCACTCAATGAGGATCGAACTCACTATTCCCAACTAATAATAAAAAGGCATGTATTTTACACAACAAATACTTGATTTTTCAACATTATCTCCTTTTTTGTCAATGCACTTAATTCAGGAGTAAATATTAACCCCATAGCTTGAACATTATATCGTGAAACATTTAGAGCAAATTTCCCTTATGTGTCAGACGACGGATTTTTTTCGTCCACCCTCATTATATATATATATATATATATATATATATATATATATATATATATATATATATATATATATATATATATATGTTTGTATGTGTGTGAACGAGGTGAGGGTCAATTTCTAAAGCAACTGTTAAGCAAGACAAAGAGCGCTTTTATTTTCGCGGTGTCTGTCATTGATAAAATTTATTTTCACAAAAGAACTCAAGCGAAATTCTTAAGATTTTTTATGTATACATTTTCTTTTTTCTGCCATCCTCCCACCCTTCCTAAACTCCCACCTGCCGAGCTTCTCACCCCCTCTTTCTTTCTTTCTTTCTTTCTTTCTTTCTGTTACCCTTTCTCTTTTTTACTCTTTCTCAACGTGCACACATATTTTTTTTTTACTTTTTTGTTTATATTAAATATTGACTGATACATTCCAAACCAATTACGCAGTTGGCATTCCCTTGCTCTTATCAACTGGTTTATTTACCCTGAGAAATCGGGAGAGCATAACGAAGGTCGAATTAGACATTTACAATTGAGAGGTTATGTTTTGACGCTTTTAGTTATTTTAAAGTTAGTCAAAAGGAAACCGGGTAGTCAAGAATCAGACAATTGACATGTTTAGAAGAATTCAATCATCAAGAGACACAGAAGAACGAAAGAGAAAAGGAGAATGAAAATAACTTAGAAAATAAAACTTGTATTTATTTATAACGCTACAACTTAGCTGTTTTCTTTTAATATTTAAAGTGAAAAGTTCCCGAGAGAGCATTAATTGACACTAGCCTAAATATAAACACAGATCTTGGATTTTTTTTTCAAACATATCCTCTCTTAAACGAAATAGTTTTTCTCTCTAGCCAACATATTTATGTACGACAATAAAAAATTTTAAAAATTAAATTGGAAAGGTAAACTTATAGCTTTATAAATAAAGCTATAAAAATATAAATATATTTATTTATATAAATATATATTTTATATATAAATATATAAAATCGGTTAGTTAATAAAACAAGAGCAAACGCAAGGGTATCAATATAATCAGTACGATAAACATTTATTAAATATTAATTATTAACCAAATGACAGAAATGAAGCATGGAGAGAAGAGTTTTAATTTCGGAATTTTCGGACACGCCTGGGTCCTTCAACAACCGACCAAGGAATTGATAGAGAAATGGGAATTACCAACAGATGTCTTTGTAGATGAGATATTTTCCAGTGAAATTGTGATGTTAGCAAAACCACAATCTCTGATATATATATATATATATATATATATATATATATATATATATATATATATATATATATATATATATGTTTTCCCTCCCTATTCTTTAACGTCGAGAGATTTTCGAATATTTCCCAGCGTTCTCCATTTCAAATTTGAACTGATAATTTTATTTTTTTTTTCAGCGTTACTTTTTTCTATGTATATAACTACATATCTTTAAATAATTTTTAATTTACCTTGTTAAAGTTTTTTAATTTTTTTAATTTACCTTGATAAAGTTCCTCAAAGAACGAAACGTTCGTTGGCGTAAGAGTTTTTTCCTCTTGTAATTTTTTTATATACACACAGACATGCATATATATATATATATATATATATATATATATATATATATATATATATATATATATATATATATATAAAAAAAAGGTTAATGGTCATAGTTGAATCAGACTAGGAAACGGTAGTATTAAAAAGTGCTCAATACATGTATGAAAAAAAAAATTAAGTAAAAGTAAAAATAACATGTAGAGCTTTTAACTTTAAAAAACAGGAAGTCATTTGAATCCGCCACCTTGGTTTCAATTGTTTTTTCAAAAATCACTGTTTTTAAATATAAAAATAAATACTAAGAATTCTGAATTATAAATCTTATTGTTCTTTTTTCAGAGTTGCAGAGTACGACTTGAGTCTGAAGAGGACTGTCTAATATGGGTTCGAGACATGCAACGCAGTTAGTTATAATAGCAATAAAACTACCTTAGACATGAAAAGTAACCTCACAAAATCTTTGGCACAAAAGTGAAACAAATGAAATGTTTAACTTAAAAAATGTCGTATTTTAATATTTGTTGTTAAGTAAAAAATTCTTAAAATCATCATTCACGGATCTCAACCAGTCATGAGAATAAGTACTTTTTGGGTCATAGTAACTCTCTCTCTCTCTCTCTCTCTATATATATATATATATATATATATATATATATATATATATATATATATGAGTGTGTGTGTGTGTGTGTGTGTGTGTGTGTGTGTGTGTGTGTGTGTGTATGTTGTGTGTGTGTGTGTGTGTGTGTGTGTAATGAAACATTGGTTGTCAGTAGGCAGCATTCGAATAATTGATTGTTCTGGTAGCTGTTCCGATCATTTTACATGTTCACTAATGCTAAACATGTAAAATAACAGGATATTGCTTTAAAAATTGTGATATTTTACTTTACAGTTATAAAGTTTATTTACTTGGTGATCGATCATTCTTTTTTCATCTGTTGGGATTATGTCAACACTATTTAAAATGGCCGACTAAGATCAAGTCGACTGACTTCCTTCGTGTGGATATCAATGAACTCCATCATATCTAACAGATACGGACTTGGAACATAGTTGTAGATTCAGCGAGTTTATTAACCCGACAAATCTAAGTCTCTACAGTCGTATAGTTAATGGAAACAGCATTGCATATTTGGCCATACTTAAAAATCCTTCATCTTAATTTTTTCGTTTTTTTATCCTTTAAAATTATTTCCGCTCTGTTTAAAACAGCCGACCATCCGCAATTGACCGACCGCTTTCTTTTTCACAAACATAGAAACATTAATAAACTAATAACATAAGTTTACTCGGGACAAATATTAAAATTTATATTAACGTGACCTTGAAACCTTGTTCGGATAATCGATGTTCGGTTAACCGATATTCTTCTGTCGGCTGCGAAACATGAGAGTTGTGTCGTATTTGTTTAACACAACCTCGCGTAATCACGAATAATATATTTTTAATAATATTTTTTTTTATTAATCTCGATTTTAGAAAACGCAATCCGTGAATTGGCGTTATTATTACTTATTGACAATTATTAGTTCTTTTTCTTAGTCACTGTACAAAAGTAGGATCGATGTCACGATTCTAGATAACACACACAGGATTGTAAAGCCAATTACTAAAGACTATTTTATTTGAAATTTATTAGATATAGATGAAAATAGATAAAACCATCGACTGGCTCGAAGATTGCATAGTTTCATCAGAAATGATTTCTAGTGAAACACCTTCGTGATTATGCAGTTTGAAATAAGAGTAAAAAACACTTCTCTAAATAAGGTGGATATTACAGTTATCAGGGAAGCAAGTAAGAGGAAGGGAGTTCCATAGTCGAAAAGCGCGAGAGAAGAAGCTGTTGGAGTAGAAGAGGCGGTTACATTTAACTGTTTCGACAGTAAAAGGGTGGGACCGAGATGCCAACCTAGTAGCACGCTTAAATTCATGCAGTTGGGACACCAGTGAAAATAGCTCGTCAGAGCAGTTGCCATGAAAAAAACTGTAGAAAAGACAGAGGGAAGCCACATTACGTTGGTAAAAACGTGACTGGAGTAGAGATCCCAAGTCAGGACCAATCACATTGCATATCCGTCTTTGGATTTTGTCGAGAACCTCGAGATGAACAGCGTGGGCATCAGACCACATATGGCAACAGTATTCCATGCATGGACGATTGGTAGATTTGTAGATGTGAAGGATGGACTCAGACGAGAAAAACTTCCTGGCGCGATACAGAGAACCAACTTTCCTTGTGGTAGATGCAGCTATTTATTCAATGTGGTTGTTCCACCTCAGGTTAGTGGAAAACGTGAGACCAAGATGGCGCAGTGAGACGCTTGATCATCAACCATGCTGATAGGAGGCAGGGAAGTTTCTCCATGGTGAGTAAATGAGAGCAGTTTCGTTTTGAATTCAATAAAATTTACAATTCATTTCCTGCCCTAGTCATCCACATATTGGAGGTCATTTTCGTGAACAACGGACAGGTTAACTTTGTCAGCAATGCAGGATTTACTATTGAGACAGGAGTAAATGGTAGTGCCGTCTGCGTAGATGCCGACTTAAGAACTGATGACGTCGTAAAGATCATTGATGATGATCGGAAACAGTGTAGGTCCAAAGTTTGGGGAACGCCGGCGTTCGTATGAAAGGAACTGGAAGAGAATCCGTTCAGGACAATCTTCATTTCACGGTTAGATAGGAATGATTGGATTCAATCAAATAATCGTCCTATAATACCGTATTCCTGAAGCTTAAGTAGAAGGCCGGCATGCCAAATCCTGTCAAACACCTTTGAGATATCTAGAGCAACAGCTCAAGTTTCGCCATTATTATCAAGAGGTTCGGATACAAATTCACTTATGGCCGTAAGCCCATCAGCTGTAGACCGGGCAATGCGAAAACCATATTGTTTGTCAGAGAGTAGATCGTAGGAAGAAAGGTGCTTAACCATTTCGGCATAGATTAAAGCCTCGAAGTCTTTGCTGAAGAGTGGTAGGTGACTAATGGGACGGTAGTTAGATGGGTTAGAAGGGTCTTTAGAGTTCTTAAAGACATGGACGACAGAGGAAGACTTCCAACAAGTTGGAACAAGTACGTACCGATGTATTTCTTTCATTTAATGTAGGGTGCAACTTTGTGGGTATGTCTTCAATTTTATCTGAAATGAAAATTGAACTATTCGAGACGTTTTCCAACTAGGTTTCTTATACGTTTGATTCAGTTCAGTCTTAATAAAAATCAAAAGGTGCCTTGACATCGAGTAATGGTTAATGAGTTAATCTGTGTATCCATTACTACTGAGGAGCGAGTTCTATCTTCACTGGGTGACACATACTGGTGACCTTGTGCAGAATAAAGTTAAATTTAGTAAATATGAACTTAATCAAAAGGAAAGGAATTGTAAACGGGTATAAAATATCACAACTCGGCTTCCATTACAATTAACATTTGAAATTAAAACCCCGCATCTTTAAAACGTTATTCAATGTCTGTGCCTCAAAGACCAACACAGAAGCAGTGTCTTCTGTCATGTTCTCTGCTTAGGCAAAGAAAGAAGCGTTTGTTTTATGTCTCTTTCTCAGTTAAGTATACCTATCGAATGATGGTAAAAAGAAACACTGTTTATTTTAGTAGGTCATTCGACTGACTTAGTAGCAACAAACTAAATCTATATATACTAGAATATTCTACGTGTTTCGATGGGTTTTCATCAACGTGTATTTTATATTTTCCTTTAATTTTTTTATTTTTTAAAATTTATTTATTTATTTATATATTATTCCTTAGAGATTGAGCAACTAGATTTTTTTAATATTTACATAAAATGACAGAAACCTTTTTAAATTATGAGATTAAATTTCTCA